GATCCTTCAGCACATATGACTGGTCCCATGCATTGACCTTGATAAACAGCAAGTAACAAGTGCTTTCGATGCTTCAGTAAGACGTTTCAATTCAGGAGGTGGGAGATACACCCTCTTCTTGCTTCCAAGTAATGTATGGGTTAGCGTTCCACACAGAGAAAAGGAAGCCACATTAACTATTTTAACAAAGAGAATTCACTAGGAGGAGTTGGGTAAGCAGGTCTTGGAGGATTGAGGGTGTAGGGGAGGATGACTGACTGATCAGGGGTGCCAGTAGCAGGACGTCATTCCTTGGGCTGGAGCGACGAAGGAAAGTGGTTCAGGCCATCACAATCTGGGAGTTGGAGGAGGAGGAATCTGTGGGTTGGGACCCAGGCTTCTGAGGCGGTGGGGGTGGGGGTGGAGGCGCACTGCCAGGTCGGTGCTGTCACACCCGAATGCTGTCGTCCGGGGCCTGCTCTGGAGACGGAGCCAGCTGCCGGGCTCATGCAGACAGGGGCAGCAAGCGCGGCCGGGAAGAGCGGCCCTCTTTCCCTCCTTTGCATTTACGTCTCTTCATTTTGTCCGTCTAGCATCCCCTTTGGTGGAACCTAATAGGGAGCCTGGTGGCAGAGGAGAGCATTTTTCAGAGCCCCAGCCCCGCAGCCCCGGGTGTGGGGAGGGGCAGGATTTGGAGGCGAGAGGTCACAGCTGACAGGAGACACTGAGTCCTGCACAGGTCCCCTCGCAGGAGCAGCAGTGCCGCATAGTTGTCTCCAGATCGCTCTTGACTCCTTGGTAATTTGTGCTGGTTTTCCTTCCCTGTCCTTGACCCCAGCCCCTGGCTCCATGATGGTGAAAGTGGCACCAGGGCAGGGGAGGAAAAGGAACCAGTAAAAATTACCTTTTACTTTTTGTTTGTAGGTGATTTGGTGATGGTAGCTGGTCCCTCACCTCCTACTACCCTGTGTCTGGGTCTCCTGGTAGGAACCTCATCCTCAAGGTTTCTTCCCCATTTCTGGTAAATTTTCCAGTTTTCAGTGCCTCTGCTTGCAGCTGTCTGGGCACTGACTCCTGAGCTGTGTTTCAGAACTATTCCTTGGGAGTGGATTGCTATGATGGGGGCTTTGGTCTGGTTGATGTATGTGCACTTGCTCCTTTTCTGAGGGAGAAAGATTATGGATAGACCGAGTTTATAGAGATATTTGGACCAGTTAGCACCAGAGGTGGGGGTGGTTAAAGTGCAGCAAAGCAGTTTGTCCTCTTTTCCAGTTTATCTGCCATGACTTGGCCTTGGTTTTGCTCTATTGATGTTTTTTAGCATGGAACAGTTCAATAGTCAGGTTCTTCTCTCTGAGGTTCGAGGGTGGAGCCATTCTTTGTCTTTAACCTCTGCTGTAGTGCCGGCAGCATATAGGGTGGTGCTGAGGACCTTCTAGACCATCTGTCCGTGGCTACTGTTCACACAAAACTGGGGGAGATGTGGCTCCCTCCACTTCCTTCACTGGTTTGAGGACCAGATTTAGTACTTGAGCCACATTCACAGCTTCAGGCCTCACAATAGCCACTGCCCTCCCACTTAAGCTGTAGTGACCAGAAAAGAAAAATAAGTCCTCAGTGGAAAATAGAAGCTCCATGGTGGGGCGTGCTCTGGCCTGAGCCTGGTCCCCAGCCTGGTGTTCTGAATCAGCGGGGCTGAAGGAGGACCACAGTCCATTTTCAAGACTTCAGAAATTGAACAGAAATCTGCATGTACCTGAAAAGAGGCTTATCAAAATGTAAAACTGATTTGCCTTTGATTCAAAGGACACAGGCTCCCCCTTGGTCATCTCCTGCTCATCAGAAGCTCTCTTGGGCACCTGTACGTGTAAGAAAATATGCATCCATGAATTATTAAGGCAGGCTGATAACAAAATCCTTCCAAATTTTATTTTGTAAGTAGAAAAAAACTGATTCTTTAAAATGGTGTACAGGTGGGACAGCCCAGATGTTCAGGCAGCCAGGGCATTCTTCAAAACCGAAGAATTTCCGCAAAGATTAGAATTCTGAAGGCTTGCTAAGTGCTTAGCAGTATGGTAAGTTCAATCCCCCATTTTGAACTGCCCCAAGATAATGTCCACTTCTCTTATCAGTAAGAAATGACATTTTAGGAATCTCGACTGCTGCTTGGTGGACCACTTCTTCTTATAATACAGTTGGGGCAGGACCACATTACGCCAGCTGGTAGGATGCTGTCCACTTGGCCACGATCAGGGCTGCATTTGGTCCCCAGGTGCCTGAGCACACCGGCGTGGACCTGTCTGTTCACAGGGAGGTTGGCTTTCGACCACCCACCGTTTTCTGATGTAACCTGTCTGGACCTGGCTGTCCAGGTGAATAGACTCTAACATAATTGTCCATCAGGGCAATTTTTGAACTTGGGTAAAAATGAGTTGTATAGCAATTCAGCGAATCCTGTGAAGAAGGATTGTTGCTGGTGCAGTTAGAAGTTTCTCCTAATGCTAACAAAACGATGACTAAGACTCTTTTACTGTCTTACTTTCCTCTTTCCTTAAGTGAGATGATAAAAATTGGAGAGATCCAGATTGGCAGATGGGAGTGTTTCTCTGATATACTCAAGCATGGGCTCACAGTTTCTGAAGGAGGAGTCGGAATCACACAAACTGGGAGCTGAATTCTGGCTCTGTTACCTGGCTCTATAACCTTGGTCATGCTACTCAACCTTTCAGAGCCTCAGTTTTTCATGTTTAAAATGTGGCTAATACCTGCCATGTGATGAGGAAGCCATGCAACAAGCACTAGCAAAATGCCCGCGCAGTTACATAGGAGGCGGTGAGAGCGAGGTGATGCTCAAAGCTTTTGCAAGAGTGGTGTGGAGGCAGACCCCAGGTCGGGAGTGGCCACCCTGCTGATTTGTCACTGGCAGTGTTCTGACTTTTCCATCTTCCTATTTGAGAGACAAGTGATGACTCAGAACGTGGAGCGCAGTTTTGGGTGTCAGGTGGGGTCTAAATGTCAGTCTTACTTGTTGGTCTTACTGATGACATGGCTCTGTGAACCTGCTTCCCCAGGTCCAAACTCTCAGAGCTGTTGTGAGGAAGAGCACTGATGCCTGTGAAGTGCTCTGCTCTGTGCTTGACTCACAGGAGAGACTTAGTGATGCCGCCATTTTTACTCATGTGGTCTTCGTATTGTAAAGTAATTGTTTGTGGAAGGAATAGATGAAGCAGCGGCCTAATGCATGGGGACATACATACAAAGGCAGGCATTATAGCATATTTGAAGAGTGGGTATCCAATAAGTCTTAAAATGATATTTTTAATGACTTAGTAATTTGTCTGAAGCTTAATTTATCACCCAATACCTATGGCAGCTGCATTATCATTTCCTGCAAGTTAGATGTACAAAGTTGTTGATTAAATATATAGTGGAGGCAACAGAGTGGGTTTCAGGATATTGAATACTTTATAAGAGATAATAGTTTAAAAATAACTTACTGTTTTCTTATATTGGGGGGAGTTTAAATATATTTTAAAACTTTTAGTATATCCTTAAGCAGAATCAGGCGAGGGAAGAAAGAATTAAAATAAATAGAGTTGGATATGAAAAGAATAGCTGTGCCAGAAAATGAGACATCGAATTTGTCCAAACCTACCAGTAGCTTCAGAAACAACGTCATGATGGCATTAGCCATTTGAGACCAAGGTAAACAGTTCTAGTAATCTTGAACCAGTTAGTCACCATCATTTTCCTATTATCTATACTGACGGGTTATAAATCCATTTTAATTAAAAGTGAACACCACCTTGTTATACCACTTCACTAAAGTTTAACACCATTTCTACTACAGTATGATTTTGACACCTTTGAATTAAAAAACGATCCAACTTTAGCAAGAAATGAATGAAGTTGACAGTTATCTGGCAAATTAGGTTATGTGCTCAGTTTGGATAAATTAGATCTCAAGGTGGATTTTGCACTCCATCAGAGTAGTAGCTGTAGGCACAGCCAGTGCTCAACGGTGATTCCCAAATCTGCACCTCCCTTCTGCAGAGGCCTGAGACTAACTGGCGGTTGCAATGAAGCAAAATCTCATGTACATATTCATTTGAAGCATTCACAACTTTTAAATGGGTGAAACCATGATTAAACAGTCCCTAAAATTAGAAGATTTAATGAAGCTATTCAGATGTTTTCATTCTTCTTGAAATCCCAAAGCCCTTTAGGATTACATGTTGGATTCAGCCAGATACATTTGAATCTTGGGTTATTTTCCTTTAAGAAAAGTAACTTATGTATGCTAACTAGTGCTTGAGGGAAAGCTTCCTGATCCTCTTAGAAATATTCCAAGGGATATCAGTAGAATATGGATTCCTCTCAAGCAAAGAAAGAGGCTGTGCATTTTAAAATTGTGATCCCTTCTAAAAATTTCCTTTTAAACATCTATTCTTTCTCTGTGCAGTAGATCATATGTAAAATGGCCCGTTTATATAGAAGGAAGTCAAATTGACATGAACTCTTCTGCACTAAAGAAATCTCTCATACCTAGGATTGTACCACCAAGTGGCATGAGAATCACAGAATCCTAGTATGCCAGGTCTCTCGGGCGGGCACCTTGGGCATCATCTGGTTGACCATTTAATTTACAGATGAGATGCAGGCAGGCAGCTTGCCCACAGCCTGCCTGTGCGGGTGGCACACCCATGACAAGAAGCCAGGCTTCCTGAGGCCAGATTAATGTGCTCTTTTCAATCTTGGTTGCCCTCCATTTGTCCTTTTGTTTAGCAGTTGGGCTTTCTGGTGTTGGCTGGATTTGCACAGTTTGTTAAGTAGAAAATGACTGATTTTTTAGTGCATGAATGATTGAGGTGGAAACAATAGTGTGTTATAGAAATACTTGACAGAAGAACTTGAGTAAGCAAAATTGACTTTCGGTCAGTAGTCCTCTTTTTCTCATAACCAAAGAATGAAGTCTGACAACGTGACCAAATGGCTCATAGCAAATATTTTTGACTTTTCAGAACAGAAGAGTCAATAACAGAAGATGACAAGAGGAGGTATGTTTGATATTAAAGCTGGGTTTAATTAAGTGAATAATTCTGCCATCCTTCATGGATTAATTTAACTCATGGATGTGATTTAACACTATAGTACGTTACCAATAACATAGGTTACACCCAGAAAACTTCTGGCACAGAGAATACGGGTAGGAGCATGTGATCTGAAAAAGAACTTGCCCAGGGTTCATAAGCCTTGCTTTTTTTTTTTTTTAATTTCTTTTTTTAAATTTTTATTTATTTTTGAGAGAGAGGAGAGACAGAGTGTGAGCGGGGACGGGTGGATAGAGAGGGAGACAAAGAATCCAAAGCAGGCTCCAGGCTCTGAGCTGTCAGCACAGAGCCTGACATGGGGGCTTGAACTCACAAATGGCAAGATCATGACCTGAGCCAAAGTTGGATGCTTAACTGACTGAGCCACCCAGATGCCCCATAAGCCTTGCTTTCAAGCAAGCTTGGTTTTTGTCTTGTGCACATGGCCTGTGCTGGTTTCCATCCAGTGGCCTTTGGATGTGCTATTTCTCCCTAACGGATGACTTCCTTCATTGTCGCAGCAATGAAGGAGGTGTTTACCTCCACCTTCCCACTCCTCCTCTGGTTGACTGCACTCTACTCTCATTACTCATTAGCTCTGTCTCCCCTCCTTTTATGTTTATATCTACCTATAGGGAAATGTTTCTGTGTGTCCATAGCAACTACTACCACATTGACCACTCTGGATTCTTGATGACTGTTGACTCATTAACATGTCACTCTATGGATATTTATTACCCTACTAAATTATAAAAATCCCAACTTCTTTTTTTCTTTTCCATTCCAAGTTAAATATAAAAAAATTCTATTAACTCAGCACATCTTTCTTGTTTCATATAGAGCTTCTTTTTAATATAGAAAAAAAATATATTTCCAACGACAATAATATTCCAAATTCTACTTTTAAAAAGTCACGAGGTACTTTAATACTTCTATAATTGTTGGCAGTACCCCTTGCTTCTATCACTTTCTGCAAATATAGAATCCCATTGATATTGGTCTGATTTTTCTGTATCTGCTTCTTGTCACTAAGAAACTATGGAGGGGTCTATGTAGGTCTGCCCTCCGAAGCTGTCAATATGGTATCCAATCAAACAAAGACTGTACGAAAAAGTAAGTACAATTGCGATATTTACTTTCTCTAAATATTTATCTGTTCGTTTTTGTGGAAAAATATGGGAAAAAAATGAAACTTACATTTCACCTTGCCCAACTCAACCCCCATATTACTTGTTTGCAGTCAACCATGTAGAAAACCCACTATCTGTTCATTGTAATCATTGGTTGAAATTGCCACCCACATGGTGAGAGTAATTCCAGGGCAAGATTTAGCTTCTATTTGTGGTTCTGCTCCATGGATTAAATTTTTTTCCATGGATAGTTTAAATTTATTGTTAATTTCAGTGACGATTGGTGTGACAGTGAAAGCGAATGAGTGAGTAAGTTTATGGAGTTCTTGTAGAACATAAAGGTAACTATTTGTAATCTATTCCTCTAATATGCTGATAGCAGTCTGATGAGTAGAGGAGAAAACAACTGCCTATTGTATAAGTAAATGAAGTTAGGCCTCATTTTCTGTTTCAATAAATAGTAATTGTGGGACTAGTGATGTCTTTTTGATGCCAGCGTGCATAACAGCTCCTTACAGGTAGCTTCTTAGGTGTGTGCCTTGTGGTGCAGAGTGCTCGCCTGTCAGCCACTGTACAGTTGTCTGGTGCAGAGTTTGAAGGGACTGCTAATATGTTTAGTTTGCACACAGGCTGTCTTACCTCATTTGTAACGCACTACAGTTATTTGTTCCCCATTGCTATTTCTCTGCTTTATGATCTGGACTAGCGCATACATATATGTCACTAGTAGTCATCATTTTATAGGAAACTAGAGTATGATCTTTATAATCTGATCATTTAACTTTTCTTAATTTTCTCTTTAAGATTAGAAGAAAATATCATGACTCAATGATCAAGAGGTACTGTATGTTTTCTAAATAATTGTACGTATTTAGCCTTGATGATGAATGATATTGTTGCTATGTATATATGTATGAATAGATGTTATTACTATGTATTTTCAAAAAATTTTGAACTTCAAAATTAGGTAGGAGGGGTCACATCTTGTGGTTAACTGTATGAAATGGAGTATGTGATATTGTAGAGGGATCTTTGATAATTAAATGATTTTATTTGCAGTTTTATTTTTCATTTCATTTTGTTTCAAATGCAACTTATTTAATAGAATAATTTAAGTGTTTACCTAAACATGAAGGTTTCACTCTTCATTGCCAAAAACTGAGGAGCTAAGACTTTGGAAATGACAGATAGGGAGAGACCAGAGAGGCTGGGACTTGGCAATTAGATTAGGATCAATATGAAGTGTTTGGCCATAGCCAGGCATCAGGTAATATACAGAGTGGAGATATATCTGTGCCAAAGCTCCAGTAGAGATGGGCAGTCCTCAGTGTACACAGATGCCATATGCAAGCAGGAATAGTAAAACCATAGGCCGAGTTTACAGGCTGGGAATTATAAAACATGTTCCATATGCACAGGAGCAACCACCATCTAAAAGACGAGGCATTGCGGACCTGGTATCCCGGTGAAGAGCTTGGAGTTAGAATTATCGTAAGACAAGCAAGAACAAGGACAGGAAAGAAACAGCTTTCCTTTAGTAACTACCCTCTGTGTGCCAGTCTCTAAAAGATGCCCAGTGGCGTTTCCATGGAGGCAGAAAGTCCCAGTTCACCTGTCCACCGACACATACGATGCTTGGATCCCCCCTGCCTCTCGGTCTTGCTGAGTGACATCCAGCCTCTTGAAGGTCCTGTGATTGGGATCAACATTATCCCGAGATGACCCATTCTCTTTTGGGAGTAAGACAACCTTGGATTTGAATTCAGGCTCTTTCACTTATTAGCCGGGCAAGTTACTTTCCCCTTATAGCCTCCATTTTATAATCTGTAAAATGGCACTAATGCTTAGCTGGAAGGGTGTTGTTAGCATTCAATATGAAGTAAATGGTAGTTTCTGCGATCGTTGTTGTCGTCGTCATCATCATCATCACCATCATCATCATCATCATCACCATCATCCTATTCTTTTTTGTAACCAGAATCCAGCATTTGGCAGACCCAGAGCAAAACTGATTTGATATTGAACCCACTTCTTGCTCAGGGCCGGTTACTGGAGTTGGTGTTTGGGGTGGGAAGGGAGCACAGAGTAAGCTTCCCGGTGCAGACAGATGAGCTTTCCCACTGGGGGCAGGGACACAGAAACCATACCCAGACAAGAAATACAATAATCTTGGGCAGACACTTCTCCAAATACTGTCTCCTCAAGGCAAGAGCGTTATGGAGCTTTATTCCCTCGTGCCCATGACCACAGCAGAGAGCACTGAGTTTCTTTCTGGGAATTTGCTGGAGACTTTCTATTTCTAGTATTTTTTTTTAATACTTATTTTTGAGGGAGAGAGAGAATGAATGGGGGAAGGGAAAAGAGAGGGAGACACAGAATCCAAAGCAGGCTGTAGTCTCTGAGCTCCATGCTGTCAGACCAGACAGAGCCTAATGTGGGGCTTAAACTCATGAACTGCAAGATGATGACCTGAGCCAAAGTCAGACGCTTAACCAACTGAGCCACCCAGGTGCCCCAAGTTCTAGTGTTTCTAATAGAGTTCTAACCTTCCAGATTGCCTGCCAGTTTTCCCCTGTGCAGAAATACTTTTGTTATTTGCATCAAATGAAAAGATAATCGAGTTGAAAGTAAGCATGTGTTACTCTCCTGAAAATGGGTTATATTTCAGAAAGCACAGGAATAGAGTGGAAAGAGGTGTCGTGAGATGAGGGCTGTCAGGAGACTCGGGAGCTCGTACTCACACAGGACCTTAGAGGAACCCCTTACCTTCTCTCAGGTTTTCTCAACATCTGTTTTTTCATGGGACAACTAGACAAGATGGTGGTTCAACTTTGTGTGTGCAACTAAAATTCCCAGATAACCATTTAGCAATCTTGCTGGTAAGCCAGCCCATGACTTTAGACTGCTAGCTAAAACACCTCTTTACTGCTCATGACTATAAACATATTATCTTATTGCCTTCCCTCTCTCTTTGAATTGCGTGAAAAGTTTTCTAAGTTGAAAGGCTCTTCTTTTTCCATTGTTGCTAAGCGTCACTTACCTGTGATATGTCTGAGCTCATGGCTCTCTGGGCTTAAGTTATTGCTCAGAAACCCTGAGAAGATTGTGTTTTACAGAGGAAGATACTTTATGGAAAGGATCAGAGACCTTTTTTGACCTGGCATGTACAAAATCTCTCAATAATGCCACTGAACTCTCTCAGTGACCAGAGCTCAAAGTTAATTTGGTTACTTTGTGAAACAAACTGAGGAGTGATTTCAGAATCTCCTACAAGACTTCTATCTTGCTACAAAAGTGTAGTTTCTTCTACCGATGGCTCTGGGTGACAGGTACGCCCATCTAGATGCAGGGAGTCTTTCCAGCCCAGAGGAGTTTGGTAATGCTCTCAGATGCCCATGGAGGACCTGGCTGGAGCAGATTCGCCTGGGAGGGCTGGAGACAGTGTGGATGGCGACACTTTCCCTGCAGGGTCCGGCCAAGCCAAGTAGGAAAGCGAAGATGTCATGGCTGAGCAGTCTGTCTCTTTAATTTGGGTGATGTTGACGTGGGTTATGTTGGTCTGGGCATTATCATGTCATATATATATATTTGTTTATTTTTGAGAGAGACAGAATGTCACTAGGGGAGGGTCAGAGAGAGAGGGAGACACAGAATCTGAAGCAGGCTACAGGTTCTGAGCTGTTGGCACAGAGCCCGACACAGGGCTCAAACTCACAAACTGCAAGATCATGACCTGAGCCGAAGTTGGACACTTAACTGACTGAGCCACCCTGGCGCCCCTTATCATGTCATATCTTAATCCTAAGTTTATAAATCTCTTTCCCCACTGCTCTTTGTCTCTTTATGTAAATGTCATTAGTGCTTAGCGCTGTGCCGGCCACATAGTAAATCTTAAATAAGTGTTGAGTGAATCTTGAATGTGTGTTTTACTGAAAAGAAAAATAAGTAATTTAGCTGAAATTATCAGCTAAAAAATCAGCTTCAAGCTGATATTATTTTCTCCTAAGTTGTACTTTTTCAAGCTTGCTAAGTCTTTTCCCTTTTGCTGTTTGTTGTCTTCACAGCTTGCTCATTAAGATTTGGAAGGAATTGCGCCCCATGGGACATCATAATGTGCACAGAAATTTCCAAGGAAATTCTAAACAGTCACATGCTTCGCCTCCCCTCCCCACCCAAATTCTTACATCTGTAGTTCAAACCATGGGTACACGTTGAACGTTGTGGTGCTAGACAGGAAGTGGGTAGACGATACACAGGCACATGGGGCTTCCTGGGCCCACCCGCGGAAGACAAGCTGACACAGGCTGGTGCCTGGAGCCGACCTGCCACGTCCGGCAGCACCGTCACCCTGGCCACCCAGCACGGCTCATGAAGATCATGTCTTCTCACTGATACTTTTTTGATAGCCTTTATATAATAAAATCCTTATTCTATTTATAACTTCAGATACTAAGGCACTAAACGTGAACTCCCTAAAGTAATATATTTGTGTGTTACCTTTCACTGTTTCTAGGTCATATGAATTAATTTTTAGCTGTAAAAATAAATTGATTCTTGCTGTTATCTCATCCCCTTTTTTACCTTTTGGTTTTCAGCTGTATTTAAGTGGCAGAGAATTTCTTCTGTTAGGAACAATGTATTACGTTGCAATATTTAAAAATAAGCCACTGAAATTTGCATGCCCCATGCATGTTTCGATTGATTTTCTATTTTCTTTAGCTGAAGGCTGATGTCGCCCCAGATCCTTTGCAGTCATCGATTCGTCCATTCTCATCATGTTGATTCTATACTGTCTTCAAGGAATTGTGACTGATGGTTCGTGGGGTATTTGGAAAGCTCTTAATTTGAGGAGGATATGTGGCCACTTAGTACTGCAATGTAGATTACTCAATTTACCAATGTATTTCAACAATTAAAACATTTTTATCCCTCTTCACCTGGATGTCCTAATCGTTTTTTAAAAGATCACTTTCAAAGAAGTCACACATGGCACTGTGACATATAAATACTGTATCAGTGTATAAAGATACCAATGTATACCCAGGTTGCCATGAAAAGTCAAAATTTGTCATGAGAAGGAAAACATTGTCTTACACACCCGGTCAGTGTGACTGCCGCAGAAGTGCTCTTCTGAGCAGGTGGCCAGAGCGGATCCTTGGATCTTGCTTCGAGTGGTTGCTGGCTGCCCTTGGCATGTCACGAACCCTGAGACCCAGCTCTGAGGAGAGAGTAAATCAAACCTAGGAGATCTGCTTGGTCCTAATAGCTGTTGTCAACAGTTTATCAAGACAGTTTATCGGGAGGAGGTTCAAGATGGCAACATAGAAGGATCCTAAACTCATCTCCTTCCACATGCCCAGCAGATCTACAGTCCCATATGAGACAGTTCCCTCTGAGAAGGACCTGAAAGCTAGCTGAACGGCACCTCCCAACAGAGGGCACAAGGGCCACCTTCAGGTGGGGGGAGGGGCAGAGACATGGTCCTGCAGGAAACCCCACCCTCGGCACAGAGACAGGCAATGGGAAGGGGTCTCGTGAACACAGAGCTTGTCCCTGAGGAGTCAGGGGGTTTGCTCCACACCAGGTGCCACAGCCCTTGGGAACTGCGTCAGAGAGATGAACCCTCAAAGTGCCTGGCCTTGGAAACCAACAGGGCTGGCTTCCAGGAGAACCAGGGAGCTTTAGGGAATGAGAAATCCCCTCTTAAAGGGCTTACACACAGACCCACTCATCCTGGGACCCAGCACAAAAGTAAATTTGAAAGATGCTTAGATCTCATGCTTAGGGGACTCACTTGTTAATCTTACAGCATCTGCCAGAGAGACAGGAGCCTGTTGGGACTCTCTGGGGACAGGTGCTGGCAGACACCATTTCTGCATCTCCTTCTGCCTTGTTGTGACTGATGCTGGCGGTTACCATTTTTGTACACCCCCCGCCCCCCAGCCTGCTAGCTCTGTTGGAATGTCCTGCTCCCCTCCCCCAAGCACCACAGCAAAGGCCACCCTGCTTTAGCTGAGTGCCCTGCCCCAGGGCCCACCCTGCCAGCCACAGGGAGTGTGCAGGCCACACAAGGGTCACCCCTGGAGCACCTCGCTTTGGCAGGAAGGGGCGATTGTGTTTCTGGACCCGTTGGACCTGAGACATCAGTCCTTGATGGGTTACCACCCCCCAGGGCACCACACAAACAGAGAACTGGAACATACCTCCACGGTTCATGTGAAAAAGGCATGCTTTCTTGTCCTGGAGCTTCAGCCCGAGAGGCAGACTTCTGGTTTACCATATACTCCTAGGCTACAGAGGTGCCCCCAGGGAAGATGGGCAGGGAGACAACCACACGTGGGCTCTCCCTTGGTCTGCCAACAGCCGGCTGATACCTCCCAGAAAGCCACGAGTTTTGCAGTTGTCCCGATGGGGACACCTCCAGATATCCTGGTCTGGAAGTCCACAGGGTTTAGGATTGCAGACCCACAAGACTGTCTATATTATATACCTTGAAAGCTGCTGTCTATGGACCTGGCTCACTCTTACCTAAAAGAACTAGACAAAGAACAAATGAAGTCCAAAGTTAATAGAAGGAAGGAAATAATAAAGTGGAAATAAATGAAATAGAGACTAAAACGATAGAAAAGATCAGTGAAATGAAGAGTTTGTTCTTTGAAATTATAAATAAACAAAACTGATGAGCTTTTAGGTAGGCTTTCCTATTAAAAAAGGGCTCAAATACATAAAGTAAAAATGAAAGAGAAGTTACAGAGTAGTAACTGATACTATGGAAATACAAGGATCATAACAGACTACTATGAACAGTTATATGCCAGCAAACTGGACAATCTGGAAGAAATGGATAAGTTCCTAGAAATATACAATCTTCCAAGACTGAATCTGGAGGAAATAGAAAAATCTAATAAGCCCATTGCCAGTAAGGAGACTGAATCAGTAATCAAAAACCTCCCAACAAGCCAAAGTCCAGGACCAAATGGCTTCACTGGTAAATGCTACCAAACATTCAAAGAAGATGTAATACCTGTTCTTCTCGGACAAGGGCCCCACAGAATAGAACGTTATAGGCCACGCACAATAACCCTGATGAACATAGATGCAAAAGTCCTCAACAAAATAAATACTAGCAAACCAAAGTCAACACTACATGAAAAGGATCATACACCGTGATCAAGGTTGATCTATCCCAGAGATGCAAGGACAGTCAACATCCACAAATGACCAATATGATACATCAGTTTATCATTTGCATATATATAGAATAAGCTGTTGTGTGAGAAGAAGCCTGAACGAGAGGCCAGGAGACTCCAAAGCAAACACAGAGGAAGAACTGCCTTCGTTCCTGATGACGTCACAGTCCTGGGGCCAGTGTGCCACGGGTGTGTGTGTGTGTGTGTGTGTGTGAGACTTGGCTTCTGTGAGACAAATCCGTGCCCCTCTGATTGGTTCTCCCCTTAACTTTAGCTTAGGTTGCTGCCTTGTCCCTGGATACCAAGAGATGTTCTCACCTTTCCATTTGCACTGCCTACTGCCCTGGTCTCAACTCACATGAACCTAGGATTTTTATAAAAGTTTGTTGAACTTTTGACATGATAAAAGAACATACGGGAGGTAAGAATCAGTAAGACACGATCATAATTCCCATCCTCCTGTCCCCTAGGGGCATTCAGGTGAAACATCAAGAGTTTATCCCATTAGGGCTAACATTAACTTTTTGAAAACTTTGAAATAATTTTAGCTTAATAATGGGGAGTAAAGTTGGCACAGACAATTCCCATATGCCCTTCGCCCAGCTTCCCCTAATGCTAACGCCTTACATAAATTTGTCAAAACTAAGAAATTAGACAGTACAAACTACAGGCTTTAATCGGATTCCATTAGTGTTTCATTAATGTCCTTCCTCTGTTCCAGGATCCAAACCGAGATTCCATTGCATTCCATTGTATTAGGTCCTTCTGGCTCCTAAGTCTCCCTGTCCTGGTAGTTTCTCCGTCTTGCCTTGCTTTTTCATGACCTTTGCACTTTTGAGGTCTTCTGATATTTTGCAGTACATTCCTCAATTTGGATTTGTTTGATGTTTTCTTATGATTAGACTGCAGTTCTAGATTCTGGGGAGGAATACCACAAAGGCGATGCTCCCCCTCATCACGCATCATATCTCATGATTTCATCACAACTTGTTGCTGGTGACATTGACCATGATCACTTGGTTGGTTAGGGGCCATCTGTCAGGTTTTTCCACAGAAAGGTTTCTAGTTTTTCTTTTCTAAACTCTGCTCCTTATAAAGTTGAGTCACTACGTTCATAACCTACTCAAAGGAAAGCAGAATAAAGCTCCGCCTCCTGGAGGAAGGAGTATCAAGGAGTTTTTAGACATTTGTTAAAAGCACAACGGTAATAAGTATTTTGGGGGAGATGCCTGCAGACTCCAAAAACGTCCTTTTACTCCTTAAAGATTTGCCCACTAATTTTAGCATTCACCCTCAGATGTCGCCTGTAGCATTTATTGCTACGGTGTTCCAGTCCTGATTTTCTGCTTCCTTCACATGTATTATTTGGAATTCTTCTCTAAAGTATATTTGTCTCCTCTCCCTATTTACTTACTTATGCAGCCATTTATTTATAACAGTATTGACTCATGGATATTTATTTTGTTCTTTAGGTTATAGTCTATTACTGTCATTATTTTATTGCTCCATGTCTTTGAGCTTTGAACATTGGTAGTTTTTTTTTTTCTTCAGGTAGGTTTTCTTATTTTTAATGTTTATTTCTTTTGAGAAGGGGTGGGGGCAGAGAGAGGGAGAGAGAGAATCCTAAGCAGGCTCTGCACTATGAGGACAAATCCCAACACAGGGCTCCATCTCATGATCCCAACGTGGGGCTCGATCTCACAAACTGTGAGATCATAACCTGAGCCAAAATCAAGAGTCGATTTTTTGACTGACTGAACCACCCAGGTGCCCTGAGATTGATATCTTAATATGGCTCATTTTTCCCCCACTCCACTGCCTTAGTAGCAAACTGGCCTACAAAATAAAAATCCAAGTCAAAAGTTAAAGCGTACTCCTAAAACTTCGTCGATTTTATTACAAATGATAGTGTTTTCCATATTATGACAAGTATTAACATTTTCCTTCAACTAGACATTATTTAAATTTAGAACCTTGTGATTCTTACATGCTAAAAATACTTTCCACCCACTTACCTCTGTTTTAAGATTAATGATTGTAATCTTTATTAAGTACTGCAAGAATCTTGAAAGACTTAAAGAAGATCTATTAACATTAAGATCTTTCAAAAGAAAAGTGAGAGACTACTGAAGGCTTAAAAATGCCTGAAATTTAAGAGTAACATCTTTTCAAACAATACATCCTGGTTCTTTGCAAGATTATTATTAAAAAATATTAACAGAGAGATGAGTTTCAGAAATTTTCAGATTATTAGATTAGAAAAGGCTTTCTTAAGAAACTTCCTGAGTTCAGACACATTTATTCCTAGACTTAGTTAAGAAAGACCACTAGAGTTTAGTTTTGGAAGGAACTGTTTGAACCTGGGATGTAGAAGTCCGGTTTGGGCAAGTACAACCAACTTCTGAGGTGTTACGGAAGAATGACTGGCCTGATAAACTGAGTTCTCAAAAGTGATCTGGAGCAAGGCTTGGGGGAAAGAGGCAGAATGATAAAAGATACTAAGTTTGTGCTGTCTCTGCGTGTTTGAATTGGTAAGAGCTTGAAGAGGAAGAGAAACAAGTTCAGTTTTGCAAATGGGAGCTTTGTGTAGTCGTATGGTATCCATGCCCAGGGTTGTGAGGAATTTCAGGGATGAAAAGTTATGTAAGAGACTCATTTCCAGGAAGATATTTGCTTATTTGCTTATTTTTACGTAATGCACGTGATAAGTTCAAGCAGTACGAAGTGATGTGCTTTTCCATAGGTT